TAAATAATACACGATCAATTCATAAAATTGTTGAAGATACTCTCAGAGAGGCCAAAGATAAGCAATGGGACTTTAGTCAATTTATTGGGACGGCTATGTGGAAGCCTAAGAAAAAAAATCTTCGTGTTCAGCGTTTTATAACTCGAATGAAAGAAAAAAAATTTAATATCCCAGATCCTGGTGAGCGCTTCAGTTACGTAATAGTAAAGGGTGAACGTTATCGTGATGAAAAAGGTCGACTAATACCATATAGACTTAGTGATTATATGGAATATCCAGAGTTTGCGAGAAAGCAGAATATGGAAATAAATATCAGCCACTATATAGAAAGTACTTTGGGATTATGTGCGCGATTTATTAATGAAGACGGGAAATATCAACCACCATCTTCACATAAAATTATGCAACTTGAAGATTCAGATGAGAAAGAAAAACAGATTGACGCATATTCCCAAAGAGAAGCTAAAAAATGGCTTACGAAATATATCAAAGCCTTGAATTAATTGGCTGTGTTATGCTATATTGCTAAGTATTATTGGTTGGAATTGCGACACCCACTAAAGATACTTATACAATAAATATTTTTTCGTACATAATTAATATCCAACTTCAAATAGATTGATCAATAACTATAGTCATAATCTCTCGATGCTAGCAGTGTATCGTGACAGCTCCCACAGACCATCCAAGGATATTCAAGATTCAAAGATGCTGATTGATTATAGTTCTTTTTCCCATGAGCGGTGATCTGATAATTCGGGTATTTTTTCATCAAATCTCCTATACTTACATTCTCATTCATTGCCACATAGGCTTTATGGGTACCATCCACCATAACTTTTATCGCATTCTTATCATATGTATTAGAAGGCTCCAGTTCAAGAGTAATGATATCTGATTTCTTAAACTTATGGCCACCGCGAAATCTCATCCCTACAACCATAAAGGAATGAGTAACAATGCGATCTATATACAATAGCGACGATGGTTCCTTACAACTAAAACAAATAGGTACTTTAGCACTAACTCCGTTACTAGACATGATTAGAAACTATTATATTTTTGTATACGAATAATATCCAAGTTCAAATAGATAGTCTTGTTATCCAACCCACGCATCCTGCAACTGCCTACTTTTCCTCTCCAACCCCCACGCACGATTTATTACGAACCATATAAAAACGATAATTAATAACCCGAGTATAATAAATGCCATTAGAGGTGAACTACCTGCTTTATCAGGAATAGCTTCTATCCCTCCAACCGAAATCTGAGGATGTGATTTAGGCTCTGCGGGTATATTATTTTCCCATCGTGCAAAATGTGAGGTCACATTCTCTGGTGTAATTGATAATGCATCAGGTTTTATCCACGCATCTAGCATATTATTGCTTTGCAAGCCGAAGGCGTCACCACTGTGGCATGGAACTTTGTCCATATCTTTATTAATTTCATCATCACTTACCTTGGGAATAATCTCGGTATCGACTTCTGGTAGTAAGGCATAGCTTCGAATTACTGATTCCTCAGGTATAGGGGTGATCTTATCATCAGTATGATCCGATATAGCCTGTGGCTGCGAAGCAATAGTATCAATTTTTTCAAGTGCGCTAGTTCTCCTATCTTGGCCATGTCAGCTCTGCTGATCCATATCTTTATTTTTTACTAAATATTGACTGAGACCATTATCCGCAGAAATATGTGTCTTGACACTAGCTTCGCTATTATTGCTTTGTAATGGGGTTTCGTCTCTCGATATGAAACTTTGTTTTCCACTCCGTGTATTTTTTTCGTCATCTCCACCAATTGCGGGTTTCGGTATAGCCTCCGATTTTAGACGCTCCAGCTCACTGACTTTAGAGGCCAACTTGGATCTAAGGGACAATAACTCAGAATCTTTTTCCGATGAGTCCTTCTGGGACGAATCTAACTCATCTTTCAAAGTCTTGATCTCATCTTTCAAAGTCTCGATCTCATTTTTCAAAGTCTCAATCTCATTTCGGAGTAGTTTTATATCGGCCTTATATCCTCCAAGAGAAATAGCTTTACTAGCATTTTCAATCTGTAGATTTTGATTTCTCGTAGCAACAGTTTCAAAATTTTGACACCATTTATTTCTTTCCTGACCCCATCGCTCCCTCTCCTGCTCCCTCTCCTGATCCCACCGTTTTATCTCTTTTTTTCTCTTTTGACCCCATTCCACCCTCTCTCAGTTAAAATCTTTTTCTCGTTTTTCATATTTGTCTCGCAATTTAGCATTATAAGAAGCTATCTCGGAAGAATCTTGGAGGGCGTCATATAATTCTTTCTTAAGGTCTATCACATTGGCCATATTAAATAATAAGAAATAGATATTAAAGTCTAAAAACCTCTTTGAAAAATTTCAGTAATAAGAATGAAACAGCTTACTAAAAAATATTATCGAGCAGATGCTAGTTATTTATCTCAAGAAGTACTTGAAGAGATTATACAATCAAGAGGTAAGATTAAAAATGCGGCCAAAACAATGGCCAATAAATATAATACTTCAACTCGTCGAATTTATGCGTTATATAGCGAGCTCCCATACTGATTCTATTGCTTCGCAGTCACAAAGTGGTTAAATATATAAATGCGGGATATCTGTAAATATATATAAATATTTCGAAACATTTCAAAAGATTTTAGAATATATAAAAAAGTATTGGAATATTTAATAACTTTAAGAAATGTAATATAATTTACATGTGCAAACATTTCGAAACTTTTTTATATTTTTAATAACATTCAGATATGGGTCGCATTCATAAAAGTTATTATAGTGCTAATGCCAAATATCTATCAGAAGAGGCAATTCAAGAGATTAAAGAGTCAGTGGGGAAAATACCTGATGCAATAAATGCAATGGCGCAAAAATATCGTATAGGTTATTATCGAGTTTTGGATTATATAGATAATAGGGAGCGCAAACAACAAATAATACATAGTGTTGCTTCTTCTGAGGTAATGCCTGAAAATAATACTTCGGATAGGCGGTCAAAGAAAAGAAAATCAGGATCTAGTCCCAGGTTCGTTCGAATATCTGATTCAGTCAATATGTGCCCTGGCACTAGTTCCGCTATTATTAATAAGGCTGACATAACCAGGCCTTCAGGCGCCTCTACGAGGCATAATCTGATAAAAAAAGTAGATGAAATGGATGACCTACAAGCTAAGCTTACACAAAGTCGTAAAGAAAGAGAAGAAGCTAAACGTGGGTCGAAAAGATTCATGGATTCCAACTAATCTATTTTTGTTTTTTCTAGAGTAGTCCGTAATCCACATAGCGTTTCAATATCAGACTCATTTCTATATGCCCGTAATTTTTTATTAAGCTCGATTAATTCAGTATTAGAATCAAGTACCTCATATAGTGATTTTTCCAGTTCCTCATAGCTCATGCGTTTTTTTTTAAAGTCGAATTATCGGGATCTAAAGGTAGAACCCCATTGCTTTGCAATAAGCTAAAACCTTCAAGGGCATTCCATTCCTCAGATGATATATTATCGTCCTCACCCCCATCTACCTCCTGTGAAATTTGATCGGATGTCAAAGACTTATCATCCCGAGTTGCAGTAGCGCAATTTACTTCGAGCTTGTTTTTAACCTTGACCATAGTTACAGGGATGATGTGATCTTTTCCATTAAAAGGAATTTTTAACTCATCTTTGTCCCAATCCATAGCACATTTGTATTTTTTAAGGTGTGG